AAAAAAAAAAAAAAAAAAAAAAAAAAAAAAAAAAAAAAAAAAAAAAAAAAAAAAAAAAAAAAAAAAAAAAAAACAATAATAATAACACAGAAGTGAAAAACGCTAGTTTCAAAGATTTTTCGATTTGACTTTTAGAGAAATATGCATATATAAAATATTTTTAAAAATAGCAAAGTAAACATTGCATGGGGCTGTTAGTTTAATGATATGTACAATTATAAATTTGCACAAATGGTTCATAACTTTCAATTAACGTCAGAGGCAATGGGACGCCGACTATTAAAATAATTTAATTACAAACAAACACATTTACATACACATATACATATATCKAAGTAGTGTGATAAATATTTTACTATACATATATATTAATAGGAATCTTAGAAATATGCAAACAAAGAAATTTGACAAATTTTACGCTACAAAAAAAATAATAATTTCCGGTATCAAAATGTTTATATTCAAAGAGCAAACTTCACTGCAAACTATGCTTCTGTTAAAGAATTACATTACATTGCTGTGGCACATGACAGCGCAGRGTTTACAGCTATTGCATTCTTTAACTGCAAGCCGAGCGAGCAGCGAGTGTTAGTAATTTTCATACGCGTACACTATTGTAGAGCAGTATGCATGCATTTACAGTGCGCTGTAAGATGCACTCGWCTCACTGTTAATTAACATGCCACGAATGCGTCGCACAGAAATGCATTTGCTTGGTTGACAGTTGACTGCTAGCCAGCCGTGTGCACTGTGTCATCGGCTGCTGCCGCTGTTGTTGCCATTGCTGTCGACATTCCGTGCGACCGGCTGCGTTCAGGCATCAAATTGGGGAACTGTTCAGTCGCTGTAGAGCACGCATACGAATGACAACGCTTTGCGGATATGCGCGAGTCAATCGGTGTCTGACTTAAATGAATTCTTGTGTTGAAATTACGTACAGCAATGCTGATTGTAAATTTACGAAAAATGTAAAATTTGAATGAAATTGTTAAAACACAGTGAATTGTTGAATAATTTGAATAATTATGTGAAATATAAGTGTATGAATTTAAATGTTTATCGTTAACGAGTCAATTGTAACGAAATTTTCGGCATTTCAAACGTGTAAATGTATTTTAAGCGAAATTTCCAATTATGGGTTAGAGGTAAAGTGCTTCGACGTTTACGCTTTTCTGTTGCGCTGCATTATCAGAAAGCTAGTGTTCTAACTAACGCCRGAGTTGAACTGTTATTTTGAAATTGAATTTATTGCATTAATGGCAGTTATTTCATTTCRTTTACTATGCGCGTAAAGTGTGTTTGGCTGTTGTGCATTTAAAAGGATTTCATTTTATGCAGTGTTGTTTTTTGTTGTTGTGCGTCGGCTTAGAAAGTATTTGAAATAAAAATTCTGAGTAATTAGAATTCGAAACTTTCAGGTACATAATGTTTATTTGTGTCCAATAATTATTATTTGTATCAAATAGTGGTCTGTTCGTAGATAAAATTAAAATAATGAAAAAATTAATCAAAATGATAAAAATAAATTATGGGCTGGAAACTATTTTTTCCTGTTTATGCGAGCAGGAATTAACGATGAAATGCGCAAAGAAAATGTTTGAGGATGCCATTTAAAAAAAGCGAGTTT